TATTGACCAGTTGACTATTTGACCCCTGGTGGTTAGTGCACATCATAGCAAGTGGTCAAGCAGCCTTAGCATATCATTAGCATATTACGCTTTGATTGGTTGAAGGGCCAACCAGATGACCAGACACTTAGCATATTAGGCTTTTATTATATAGAATTTATGCTGTTATCTTATTCAATTTTACATATTAAGTACTTTTTATATTACATTTATAAATAACAATTATGTGGATTATTCATGTTTATGAATATTTTATTATATTAGCTATAAATTACTTTATAATAGAAAGTGATTTTACAGGATCATATTCTATTTCTATTATCATATTCTATTACCCCATGGAAGGTAGGAGGAAACGGAAGCTCAGAGAGGTGAGTTCACTTGCCCAAGGTCACACAGCAAGCAATGCCACTCAGCAAGGTGACAGAGTCGAATTTGAACCCACTTCTGTGGTCCAGCCTTTGGCTTTTAATCACTGTATTACCCTGGCCAAGGTGGCAGACAGCATGTGAGGGGACCAGTAGGGAGGGAGTCTTAACTGAGTGACTGGATAATAGCAAATCGCTGTAGGTGTTGTGTTGTGCTGGTTTACATTTATCGAGACCTTATTGTGCGCCAGGCTTTCATGAGAATGATGATGCCACATGCTCCTATGGCACTTAGTGGGCCCACTGTAAGTGCTGTTGTGTGGATTGGTCCACTTACTCCTCGCACCAGCGCTCTGAGGTGGGTACCACCATTGTCTCCACGAGGCCCGAGGTGGAAGCATGTGCAGAACTCGTGGAGGAACTGGGATTTGGTGCCAGGCTGTTCCTTTTACTCTCGAACTTCCCATTATCCCTTAAAGTCCTCACAACAGCCCTACAGCGTAGGAAGAATTATTACCATTTCACAGATGAGGAAACTGAGGCCCAGCCTTGCACTCACCCACAGAACCACAGGCTTGAACTATTGTCTGTCTGAGCAGCTCACCCACCCTTGACCCTGTTCTTCTCTGGCAGGAGACCAGGAAAGTCAAAGAGCCTCTGAAGGGCCTGGGCCATGGTCCCAGCCCTGGGGCCCTGTCCCATCCTGAGATCCCAGGCTCCCTGCCCTTCCTGTCTTGCTCCCTACTTTTTCCTTTGGCTTATAAGGTGCTGGGTAGGCCAGGTTTCAGCATCGCAGGCAAGAAACAAGGACAGGCTACACGGGGGCCAAACATGAGTCAGCAAAGAGGAGGCCATGCGCTGGTTCCAGAAGTATGATGGGATCATCCATCTTGGCAAAAATTCCCCTTTCTTCACAAAAGGCGAATAAGCTAATTTCAGTGAAATGTGCCGATTGGTAAGCACTCATTGTGTTTTACAAGAATTGTCTCTTTTCTCTTGCATTACACTTTTGGTTTTGTTCGTTTGTTTGTTTGCTGCTATACAAGTTTAAAATTTGTATACAATTCGATAGATCCTATTTATTTTATAGATCAAGATCTCCAACCTCGTGGGAAATGGAACTCCTAGGAAGTGGTAGTGGGGTGGCAGCCTCTCTGCCCTCCCTTCCCCTCCTAGGCTTCTCCTTCCTGGGGTTCAGGGGGCTGTTTGATATCTTGTCAGTTTGTAAGCACTCTTTACCTTTCTAGCTATTTTCCCCAAGCCTTTGCACATTGCCTTGCAATGGATTGTGTGTGTGTGTGTTTTAATTGATTTTCTAGAGAGAGAAGGGAAAGAGAGAGAGAAAGAGAAACATAGATGTGAGAGCAAACATAGATTGGCTGCCTCCAGCATGCCCCCGACAGGGGATTGAACCTACAACCCCATAGTCGTCGTCCCCCCCCCCACCCACCCACCCACCCAACCCAGAAGCAGGCTAACCTACTGATTGGAGCGCCTGCCCCCTGGTGATCAGGGCACATCAAAGTGACTGGATGACCAGTTGACTGTCAGAGAATGGAACCAGCAGCTTTCCCTGCACTGGACCAGGCCCAACCAACTGAGCCACACCCACCAGGGGGCCTTGCAATGGTTTTCGTTCTTTGCTTTTTAAAAATAGATATTTCTATTGGTTTCAGAGAGGAAGGGAGAGAGAAGATAGAAACATCAATGGTGAGAGTGAGTCACTGATCGGCTGCCTTCTGCAGGCCCCCCAGGCTGCACCTGGGCATGTGCCTTGAACTGCAATCCAACTGTGACCTCCTGGTTCACAGGCCCACGCTCAACCACTGAGCCACACTGTCCGGGCTGTAATGGCTTTAAGTGTTACACAATAGGCCTATCTCATATTTCACAGATTCTGGCTTCTGAACTTGGTCAGGAAGATGTCCCACTCCTGAGTGAAGGAGCTCTTCCCTGTCCCTCCTCCTGCACCCCTCCCCCCCCCCATCTCCAGCTTCTACTTTCCCAAGGTCTTGAGACCTGCCCCGCCTGAAGGCCCAGCCCCCCTCCTCTTCCCCCTCCCTCAGCCTCTCCTGTTGAAGGAGGTGGGTGAGGTGGGGTGGTTCATTCCTGGTCAGTTTGTAAGAGCTCTTCCTGCCCAACCTATTAACCCTGTCCCCCTCTGTGCTGCAGTGACAGACCCTCAAGTCCTGTGTATTGACGTAAGCTGCTGTTTCATACAAATATGTCCATCCTGTATTTCTCCTTGTGGGTTTGCGACCTGGACTAGGAAGAGCCCCTCCCCCTCCCCCTCCCTCGCAGAGTCCTAATCTTGCAGCTTGTCCCTTCCCACGGGTCAGGAGCATAAAAGCGCGCAGGGGCACAACCCTGCAGCGTCGCCATGGCCCCGCTGTGCCCACTGCTGCTGGCCCTGGCCCTGGTGGCCATCCCCGGTGTCCGAGGCGCCTGCCCGGCAGCCGCTGACCTCAAGAACCCCAATGGGACACGGATATGCGCCAAGTTCTATGACAAGAGCGACCCATACTATGAGAACTGCTGCCAAGGCGCGGAGCTGACCATAGAGACAGACACCGACCTGCCCTTCCTGCCCTATGACTGGAGGAACATCATCTCCTCACTCGTGGTGGCCCCGCGCTGTGAGCTCACCGTGTGGTCCCGCAACGGCAAGGGTGGCAAAACTCGCAAGTTCAAGACAGGCACCTACCCGCGCCTTGAAGAGTACCGCAGGGGCATCTTTGGCCACTGGTCCAATGCCATCTCCTCCATCTACTGCAGGTGCCCTCCTGTCCCCGTGCCAGTGCGCACATCCGCTTCCACAGCACAGAACCCAGCCCCACCCCCACCCCCAGCTTCAGTTTGCCCAGACCCCTGAGTCCCTGACCCATCCCGGAGGCCCCTTCTCACCCGCATCCTCCCCCAAGCCCATGCCTCTTGGATCTCTCAGACCAGTTCTGGGATTCTCAGACTTAGATGTGACACAACCCCCTCCATTTAGGGAGCACCCCCAACCTTCCTGAACCCCCACCTGCCTACCCACAGCTACACTGTCCAGGGAGGGCCACTAACTCCTGAGCTGCCCAGTCTAGCGTGGGATGTGGAGCCATCCACCCCCTCACCCAGGAGCCCCAGAACCAAAGCTAGTTCTTCCCTCTCCCCAAACCGTCAGATCTCAGAGCTGCCTCGGGCCTCCCAGACTCTACATCTGACCCAGACCTCAAGACCCAGACTCTACATCTGGGGACACCCTGCCTGGGCCTTATGCTCCCTAACCACCCACACCCTCTAGGACAGCCTCAACACCAGGACCCAGTCCCAGGGTCCTTGGGAAGGTTCTGGAGCATTTGGAGCCCTGAGCCCACCCTGCATTCACATATGCAAACTCACAGACTTGGGACCCTAAGTCTAGCCACAGTAGCCTCCAAACCACCCCCCCCCGCCGCCCACCCACCAAGAGCTCCAGGAGCCCCCGCTCCTGAAGTGGGAGCCCAGCCCAGCCCACACCTTATCTCAGGCTCTAGAGCTCCCCAAGCCAAGAATCTCTGAGCCCCTGGCACTTCCTGGTGATCAGTTTTTATTTTGTTGCAGGTGCTACTGATGCCTCAGAGGCCCCTCATCTCCAGCCCCTACGGAGTGAGGAGCCCTCACCCAGCCTTGTCCCTGGGGCCTGCTGAGGGCCCCACGTCCCAACAAGAGAGCTTTCTGCCTGCCCCCTCCCACCCTGCCTTCCCCGCAATACAGTCCTTATGAAGTTGCCCCTGTCTGCCATCTGCTTGTGCTTGGGACCCAAGTCCACCCAGGATGGGGGTGGGATGGGGAGACAGCAGGGTGGTCATGCCAGGATCAGCCCTATCTGGGGCAGTGCTGTGACTGGGTGCGCACCCATAGACTCTGACGTGGATTTAGGTGTGCACAGACACACGCACACAGGAAGCATGTGTGGCATGCAATGGCACCGCTGCTGATAATTAGACATTGACATGCTTCCCAGGCCTTTCTGTGCACAGCCCTTCCCTGAGTGACCCCAGCTGCTCTGGCCTGCCAGGGACCTCCAGATCAGGATTCATGCATGAGACAGCAGGAGGCCTTCAAGGACCAGCCCAGGCCAGGCCAGGGTCTGTTGTGAGATCTGGCCAGAGCCTAGGACTTATGGGTTGTTCAATCCTTCAACCCTCCCCTCCCCTACACATGGAAGGCACTTTAGTGCAAATTTGCATATTGCTGCAAATGTGACTTTGCAACCTATTCTCACCCCCAACCCCAGGGATGGGGCCCTTGATGGATACCTGGGTCTGGGGGCTCTTAGGAGAAGCTAAAGAAGAGAATTGTGGGTCTTGGGGAAGGAAAGGTATGGGGACAGCTCAGGGGGAAGGACAACTTGGGGTTGGATGGAGGAGGAGAATTCGGGGGGATTCTGAGAGCTAAGAAATGTGGGGGAAGGAGGTAGGTGGAGATGGTAAGAGACCATAAGGTGGGAGTATGTGAAGAGATCAGAGGTTAAGGGAGGCGTGGGAGGTGGAGGAGGTGTGAGGTGCTGGAGGATCACAGAGTAGAGGGTGTGCGAGTGGGCTGGGAACTCAGCGAAGTTCTAAGGAGCAAAGATGGCAAAATACTCAGAATCCTTGGGCACAGGTGTTTACTGGTTTAGTCAACAATATTTATTGAGCACCTACTGTCTTTGAGCACTGCCTCGGGAAGACATGATCTCTGCCCTCCTGGAGCCCCGAGAGTGCAGGGGAAAGGCCAAAGATTTATATGTTGGGTGGGGGACGGGAGGGCGATGAAGTCAGACACTCAGGATGGGACAAGGGGTCAAAACAGCCAGTCACTCCCTGAACTGCACCGACACGGAGGAGTCAGTCACCCTTGTTCGCCGCAGCCCACCAGCCTCCATGCGGTTCTTTGTCTTGTGCAGGAAGTGGACAAATCGCACACCAGGGCCATACTGGCGGAATACGTGGGACACCTGTGGCAGCAGCGGGTCAGAAAGAAGTCCTTATTAGGCACCCATGAGCCCTGCTCTCCCCCCTCCTTCCTCTGTGAGGTCTTGGGACGGGTCTGGGTTGGCAGCCGGGACAGGGAGTCTCACCTGGACCCAGCGGCCAGGAGGGCCCCTCCCAGAGGTCCGGGGGGCCACATGGTGCTGAGCAATGACGGTGTGTCGGTCAGCTGCCAGCAGCCAGACGTGCAACTCATAGACACACACGTCCAGCCGGCTGTCCTCAAACCTGGGGGTGGGGGAAAGCCTTCAGCTGCCACCTCAGACCCAACATCCCCACCCCAATGTGCTTGCCCCATCACCATTTAGCACCACTCACTGACACC